GGAATGCTCTTGATTGTAGTGCCTATGGTAATGTTCCTGTTCGAGATCCAAATAGACATCGAGTTATAGTCGTTTCCAAGGAGTAAGGGGAAAGCAGTAGCAGTGATACATCAAACTGTTGGTGGCATCCAAGAGTTTCTCGATGGGAGTCTGTACTCGGGTTGTTATCCAACTTGTGTTCTCTCTAAAGTAACAGCTGAGGTTGCAACTGAGGAGTATGTTCATGATGCTGAGCCAGAGGAAGGGATTCAAGTGCACAGACTTCAATGCGGATTGCTTCTCTTCAGATCGGCACGCGTGAGGATATATATCATTATTACTATTGAGTTATCATAATAATACCATTATCAGCGCCCATGCGGTCATTATATGTACACTGGAGTTCGGAAGTGTAGGTATGTATTTCATGGAAGTAGCATCTTCTGAAACACCTTGAATACTTCTTCATGATGTGAAACAATCGATAGAGAATAGGATAATTCGTCTTAATAACCTCGTATGTGTAGGTGAGGTGTTCAGAGATATGTTGCGGTGATCGTATATGTTAGTCGCATTATGACTGTTCATGTTGTGTTCATAGAGTTATCGGGATGAACTGTACTTATACTTTCTGCGTTGGGGCCTGTCGGGGCCTATACCCCTTCTTGCTACCATAAAGAAGACCATGATGTTGTTGTATTCCTCTCTCCCCATCATACTCAGAAACTCAATAGAAGTGACTTCATGAAATTAATCATTTAAGTTCACGCCAGTAAGTTAGAAACAATTCAAGACCAATGATAACAGCATCTACAGCTACCAACCAGATGACCCATATCTAAGATCGTAGAAGATACAAACTAGGTCCAGACTATGACTACAACCTACTTCAAGATTGTTACCATGGGCTACATGTAGTTCCTCCTGTATCATAGTATACATATCATTCAATACCTCCATACGCTGAATAGACGATCTTACCGGCTCAATACCATTCCTCTCTGAAGTTTATATTTCCACGCATCACTCTCTAGTAGTAAATGCCCACATAACAAGCCCGTTTATAGAGGAGTGTACAAGTGGGAATTAGCACATGAAGTGTTACCTGATTTAGTATTTCAACTCGTCTATTAATATCCATATATCGTCTGGATTTATCATAAACTGCTTCGTATTCGTTGAAGTCCCTACCCAAAGAGGAGTACCTTAGGCTACTCCTAGTATGACTCACCAGAACACATCTGGAGTACCCAACATATCACTGTATACATTTAGATCACAGCGTTGTACGAATAGATTGCCCATCTGACAAGATGATGAAGAAGTCGGACTATCAGGGAGTATGCTGGTGATGCCGTTCAAAATTAAAGTATGCAGGTTCCAACTGTATTGTCTATCAACACTCCAAGATTGATCTTCATTATCACGTGGTCTCCATCCAATAAGTCTCACCCGCTGAGCAACTTCCTTCTTCCCTATTCCCACAGTCCCCGTCCTGGTCATCGTCTCGGGTACATCAGTAGTTCCTACAATACTAATCCGTAAACGTTGTTTCATGTCATACTTTCGATAGCCCCATCCAGCATCGTTTCAAAAGCATCAACTCTAACACTTTGAGCGAGGGAGTAGCTGTGAGCCAATCGTTCCATTAAAGAACTGTAAAGGGCAGCAGCATACAGGAAGACCAACTGCTCTGGAGGCCTCACCTCCATCCACCCGAAGCTGATAGTCTTATGTTATCATGAGCTATGGGCCTCCTCGAAGGATGATCACGATGATGGGCTGCCTCGGGTTCGCCACTATCCTCAGCAGTAGCAGCAGCACTCGTGGTGGCTTCTATAAAGGGCTGATATGAAAGGCATGTAGGGAGGGACCATGGAGGAGTACCACCTCTGTAGTGTAACGCATGTAGTCGTGTTCAGGCTGAGATAGAGGCTTCTTCACTAGTGGTTTAACCAAATCGACTATAGTACCCAACTGAGAGGGCACTTCCATGCGGAAGGTCCCCGGATCGAATCCCCCCGAGGGCTTACCTGATTATCAGACGCTCCCCAGACTACAACACATCCGAAGGAGAAGAGAAAACAGTCTAAACTGTTGGCACAAACGGTTAAATACAATACCTGATGGAAACATGAGTCATAGGGCATCGAAAGCACTGTACTCGTTTCTCTATTGATACGGCATCAGTTACAAGATCACCACCAACGAGGCCGGCAGCAGGACCTATATCTAAAATAAGTATGCATATACATTATCGACCTAAACTGTATCTTGCAGAGTTGAAGCTAAGATACTCCTTACAGCTGTCTCTGGATCCAGCTTGAATCTGAGTCCATCCCATTTTGATCTCATCTAGATCAATAGATTCCCCAATGCATACTGCAGCAACACGACCATACGCCTCTGGTTGGGGGTATACTACACCAACCACATTGTAAGAGACCAACTCATGCATATATATTACAATAGACGTTCTTCCCACCAGCCCTTCTACGACGATATGCTGGTAACTCCCTAAAAGGATACACATCCGCATCCTCGAAAGTACCGAGATTAGAGCCCATTGTATGTAAGTCATATTAAGAACCCCTATAGACCGACTACAACTCTAGTGAAGCGTGAACTCATCAATAGTACAGTGTATTGATCGAAGAGGATAATGAGAGGGGGTAAGCAGTATTCTACATCTCTATACAGTGATATACCTCACAGTACGTTGAAACAGAACGACGAGTGATCCGATCGGAATTTTTCTCCCACTTGTGTAAACGCTTCCAAATGAGTCCCCCTGCATTATTACATAAGCCTCTCCCCCTCAGGTCTGATCACATCAGGTGGTCCACTCCGATACTCCCTAGGTGAGTATGCAGCAGTGCGGGCATTCTAATACCAACAACAGTGGCGTCCTTCCCCACTGCTATACCCTTACCTCACGCCTCTCCCTCAACTCTAGGTTCCTATTACGGCTAAAACTCCTTCCCCTACCACGATGGGACTCTTCTGTTGTTGAGCGGTATAGAGGGATGTCCATAGTGAATCTTGCGCATCATCACGTTACTAGGACCGATCTTGCAATATCTTGCATTCTTGCAATTCCTCAATTCTCCCTCCATCGCTATAGCGCAATCGATCGGTGTTCCCCTAGACGTGATCCGAGGCTTTTGAGGGGATAGAGTGTTCGTGAGGTTGGACCTTGGCTATGGTAGGATACGGGGGAACCTTAGATAAGCTAGTCCTTGCTCAGTTTGGATATTGGTGCGGGAGGTATCTTAGGTTGGAGTAGGTTAGATATGGAATAGGTTGGTGGTAAGGTGTTGCTTATCAGAGAGTTCGTTAGCCACCTAAGCCACTATGCCGGATCTCTATATGACTCGTCCCCGTAACTTCGGCCCTGGTTCTCGTCAATGCCGTGTGTGCTCCAACCAGCACGGTCTTATCCGCAAGTACGGCCTTATGATGTGCCGTCAATGCTTTAGGGAGAAGGCCAACGATATTGGATTCCACAAGTAATAGCAATAATAATACACACATTCCATAGTCATCTATTACTACTACTATAGGTACCGATAAATACGAGAATCGGCAGTGATTATGGGATAGTAGTACGACGACAAGTTGGCTACAAGGCTACATTCTCTTGAATCCTCCTACTGTTGTGTTGAAGTATATATCATAGGGTGGAAGGGCGTTTCATTTTATCTTGATAACACTCTCATCTCACCCTCGCGAGTGGAAGTGTTTTCCAATCATTCTCACTTTGACCAGGTTTGGGATTGCAATATGGGATAAGCCAACAAATCATAGTATATTCAGAAACATCATTAAGGCATCATCATGGTAGTTGAATCTTCCTCCTATTAGAATGCATTCTCAACATAAAAGACAACTGCTGATGCTTCAACTTCGATGCTTCAATACTTTTCTCTATCCTTCTTATCTCACTCGCGCTTATATGTATCCATTTCCGTACCAACTCATTTCCAATTGCCTTAAGCACAGTATGATGGGTCTTATGGGGTGTATGCAAACTGTACCTACCAATAACAACCTCAGGAGAGGAGTCATCATGAACTACTTATGAACTACTCCCAACCTACGTCTCAAAGCAGTTAACAAGCTGTGGTGCCGTTAGACCAGGACATGCAAAGGTTATAATGTCTTCCGCTTTGGAGAGCATCTCGGTCTCGACAGGTGTAACCAGACGTTGTGGTACTACCAGTGGTGATGACGATGATACTACTACTGGTCTGTGTACTACTTACCCATCACTTCGTCCTCCTTCCTCTTCCCTCCTTCCTCATCTCCCTTATTTAGTTGTGTCCATATTCTACCCAAACTACCCACAGCTATCGCAACTACCGAAACTACTCTATTCCTAGCTGCTATTGCATCCACTGGTGCCACAGGTCTGTTCTTATTATTCAACCCAGTAGTACCTACACATTACCTCCTACTACTACTCACCATCTTATACTATTACGTTCTCTTTGGAGCCTATGTAGGATAACATCATCATCCCTAACAACTTCCTCATCCTCTTGTCCAAGACCCATCATCGAAGTAGCATCCAGGACGGACATCCCCTCTACTACTACCTACTACTACCAATACCTTATCTCCACCTATTCTAACGCTATCGTTACCTCTTCCCCTAGTTCCGTCTCATTCTCTGCTTCCAGATCCACATCCATCGTAGAGACATCTTCCCCATCATCATCATCATCACCCTTCTCAGCACTAAAGCCTACCTTCATAAGCTCCTCAGGCCCCTCAGGAGGCTCCCGTCGAGCCGGTGGCTATAACACATCATACACCATAAGCATCAGCGATACGAGCCACCTGTTTATTCAGCCGCATCCTGGGTACCGGACCAGGCACTGTGCTACGAAGCACGTTGGAGTCTCGATCAAGTGCTAGTAGGAACTAAATGGACATAGTACTGTGCATGGTGTAGGGAACAGCAGCATCAAAGGATGATGATGATGATGATGATGATGATGCAAGGATGATGATGCAGGGATGGTAATCGCGGTTGCGAGGGTACATGATCAGCGACCTCATATCGTACTATCACCATCGGAGTGTGAAAATTTTGAGGAAATTTTATGCACAGTTCTACCCGAATTTATATATAAAATCTTGAAGTGAGAAGACCCTTGGATTCAGGTGAGGAAAGCGAACATATATTCCAAGACTGCAGGACCAGGGGAGTCAGTCCCCTTACATTCCTCGAGGCCGCCTCCATCATCTCTGGTGTGTCCTTGACTATACCATCGAATAGAGTTAACGTGTGGAAGGCACTGGCTGCACTATAGAGACTCTCTGGAGTTGATAGACATATCCTATCGAGGATTGTATCTAACAATCGAGAGGTCCCTGGTTCGATTCCCACAGGCTGCACTCACTAACGTCGGCAAGGACACTCTCTTCAGCCTCCTTGACGGTCACCTCATTCTCAACAGTAAGCAGACGTGCAGCACTCGAAATGATAGACGCGAGATCGGTCAAGCCTAAAGCTGGTAATCCAAAGGTCCCCGGTTCGATTCTTGGGACCTCCTTCCTCCGCATTTAATGCTGCAGATGACAGTATAACTTCCACTAACTCTTCGGTACCTGCTGGTTTGAACCGAGCCAAGCCTGATAGAAGTACCTGCCAATCTTGCATTCCCCCAACGCCTCCTCCTTCTCCTCCCCCTCCTACCGCACAACTCCGAACGTCATTCCCCTTCTTCCTATTCATCGCCGCCAATGCATGACAATGTTTAATAGCCGACTCCAATAACGGTTTCGATTCACAATTGAAAACACTGTATGCATTCACGATAACCTTAAAGATCCGCAACGCACAGCGAAGATTCCATCATCACCACCGTTGCTACTACTACCGCAGCCTCAGTGAAGGTGAGCTTAAACATATCATCAATAATCTCCCTACTTAGTATTCGCATTAGATCAACATCTCTGTAATTGACTATCACCAACGCATCTAGTATCTAATAACACGAGGATAGGCGAGGGTCCCTCGCGTAAGGCGGTGAACCCAGATGCTACCGCGGCAATATCGGACACAGATAGGGTGTCTTTGCTCTTGCGTATGCGTTCACACATTTGTCTCCAGAATTCATCATCGCTGATTTGACTCTCAGCTGCCCGATAACACGTGGGGGCGACTTCATCTGAAAAAAATGTCCGTACCAGGGATCGAACCTGCGCCTCTTCCATCGTACAATCTCGTAGTATCTTCGGATCGGGCAGCTCGCTGGCTGCACCATGAGGGACATTACAGAATACCCCCAGACGTAGCCTCTTCTTATCCTGACATATTCAACGTCAGCTCACATACGATCCCCTTCGAGTCCTATGGGCGGCATCCACATCACCACTGACTGGAAATATGTATCGATAAAACTTTAGAAATTTTATGAAATTCTATGAGCGGTAACACCAGCCTCTCGCCTGACGACTACGAGAATACCAGCTATCCATCTAACGCGAAAATATGGAAGTAGCGCACCCGAAAGGATCTCCACATATGCTTATAAACTCTCTTATAATCAGCCTCGAACGGTGGTATGATGAACTTAGGTGGTCGTGCCTCTGTCGGATGCATCTGTGATTGATATCTCGACGATGCTGAGGGGAGGGGACCGTAGTGGGCCTAATCCATATCATACCAAGTACCTCGGTAGATTCTCCGATAACCCAATCTCGATACGGGTGTTAGAGCAGGAGCAGCAGCGGCAGAGGCATTCAGTAGAGGACTTCCTTTACGGATCATTCACGCCACTACCAAAAAACTAATAGAATACCTCCATTGAGTATACCGAGAGACACTGTACGAGTACGCACCAATGCAAACGTATCGGCGGGTCCCTACTTATGAATTACCACATTTCCCACACTTCATCACAACCATACCCCATATTGATTAACCCGAAGATGATATCCCCAAGTACTTAAGAAACATCATTAACAGTCTGATATCAACACACTGGTCACCTCCTCCCGATGCTCATCTCTTTGTGGCCTATTCCGTCTCCGCCTCCTACAGCGACATACGACACCATTCGAAACCAAATATCAACGAAGGGAACCGTTAGAAAATTAACCAAATTATTAACGCAATGCAAGAACATGAATAGTAGTGAAGCTTTAACGTGTCGTCGCTGTACCCTTCAAACTAACATCAAGCTCCAAATGCCGCCCCTTCTTAGGCCGACCCGCGAGGTTCATTCCAGACTGAACCTATCAAGTAAGCTATATCGCACTGGCAAGACCCAATAATAATTTTCCCTGGAAAACTCATACACCGGGGGAAAATTCCCCATTTCCTCAACGTTATTCCCCAAGTAAAATCGTCGATCACTATCTTACCCTCCTCTTAGTGCCCTGAACCGCCATTTCCGGCACAGGGGCTGTGTCAGTCGATGGTGATTGATCCTTAACAAGATGCTCCGGTAGCTTAGGGCGGGATATATACGCAATATCCATCTCAAACTGGCCTGAGGTACATCATGAAAATCTTGCTATCTCGACAAATCTTGCAATTCCTCAAATTCCACACAGACCATTTCCTGTTGCCCAACCCACCATGATAAGTATCCTTCTCTGACCACTCGTTGATCCTATCGAAAAACCCACTAGTACAATTTCGTAGATCACACGTCACCGTCTGCCCAGCAGCCATCGACGACAACTTTGGGAAATCCAATCCGATATACCTACAGTGCAAACCGCGCTCGCCCGATCAATCGATCCGGTTCAATTACTCACCAACAACAGGAGTTCTCCCGCACCTCGCCGTCAACTACATATGGCATCTCTTCCGGCCAAGGTCTGACCAGATAATATTTCACGCGCCACAAAATTACTCGTACCTCACACTCTTGATACCAGGGGTATTCTCCAACATTCTCACCAAGAGCCGCAGCCTCGACTCGACAAAACCTTTATATTTCCGATACGCTGTACTGCTCAATGCCGATACTCTTATCTAATCAAAGTAAACAGGAATGACTATTAAGTACAAAAATCAATTCCTGAGATTTCCCCAATAATTTTTGTATATTTTTAAGCCTCGATGGAGGATTGAGAGATGCATAAGATCGACAGGGATAGAAATCGAAACGAGCGGATTCGTAACTTCTTACCTGAACGTAGTAGAGGTAGTTGCAAAAGAAGGGGAATTTGTGGCAAAGAAGTTCCCAATCAACCTGCTCTTTCTGAAGAAGAATACAAATCGATCACGCGATCGATTAATTCTCAGGTCACCTTCGGTAATGTCAGCTTGTGAGCTCTCTCAATTTCTCCCATTATTATCCTTTTGGTAGTCTCGGTGACGTTGTACGTACTACAAAAAAAGAAAAATAGGAAAATTTTCCCAGAAATTTTCACCTGTTCATCGACGGAAAGGCAGGAGTGATAACTGGCATCAAATGAGATCGATCACTCGCGTATCTAGAGACATATCTTAGGTCGCAGCAGCAGCATGAAGGATACCACTCACTGTTTAGGATTCCAAACCTTGAAGCTCATCAAACCAATCTCACTCGACTGTCTTATCGGGCACAGTGTGACCGGATTGTCCCAATTCCATCGCGATAAGATTAGGAAGAATCGTCGAACCAGTTGGACCTGTATAAATACATATTCCAACACTGAGTCCCCCAGTTGAACAATTTTTAAAATATTCATTGGTTTCGAACAACAATGCTCGGATACGTGCACCGCACAGCGAAGGATATCTCGCTCACTTCAAGAAGCCTTCAAACGCAATTTACCGTTATCATGCAACACCGACCGAAGATACGTCACTATCATCACTCCATCATCAAAGATTCAAAAGAGGCCCAAATATTACCGATTGCATGTTGGGGAACATCTGACATACTCTCGCCACCAGAATGGCCCATGTAATGCCACCAAAGAAGCCTGAAGGGAAAAGGGAGGACGGCGATGTGGTCGTCGATGAATAAAATGACGGCTACCGATGATATTGGCGTAAAGACCCCTCCGCTTCGCCCACAGTTTGATGAGCCTCAGACACCCTCGGAAGGTATTGGGTGTCGGGACCAGTTTGAGAATCAAATCGGCCACTCTCGTACCATTGACGCATCTAGAATGACCCTCACCAGGGATCGAACTCGAAACCATTCGATTACCTCACACTTCGATCATCTAGATTCTTCAGCAGCTCGTCACTTTGCAAATCCTTCAAACCGCTTGTTGATGTCAAATTCAAACGTGCGAATAGCAGATCGATATCAACCTCACAGCATCTGATAATAAAACCATCAGCACCAGGAATCGAACCCGGGTCCCTCCTATTACATAAGCTTGATGATCGGAGCATAAGCGTCTGGTACTGGCGTGACCGTCTCCACCTCATCCATTTGCTGCAACTTCCCTACTAGGCTCCCAAAGAAGGCCTCTCGGGTGACATGACGAGGAGCAACACAGAGACAATCGATATCAGACGAAGGAGATATCAAACCAAGTCTATGAGAACCTATGGGATAGGTCCCTGGTTCGATTCAAACACCCCGCATTTTACCAAATGTAAACAACTTTCCATTGTTCGACTGCTTTCTTGCATTCTCCGCGGTCATTCCCTGCTGCACCCCAACCTCTGTCAGCCAATCACCGATGACCCCTTCAAGCACTCGGAGAGCCTGCACGCATGCACAAGGTAACATCATTCTCCCGAGACCCCAACACCAATACAAATTCTCAACATTTCCCGCGGAAAAAATTCAACTTTATGCCCCTTTCGATTCCGTCCAACGACGAGCAGTGTATTGATTTCGTTGAGCGAAAACAAAATCATTCACGTCCGATGCCGGCACATGCGAGCCACGACCGAGGCGTTCATCAGCAGCCTTCGAGCAGCCGAAAACGCACCTTCCCAGGAAATACTGATCATTATAACCTAATTGAGTCGGTCCATGGTGTATTGACTTCACGATCCTCTCACTATTGAAAATTTTTCGAATTTTCCCGTACCACCTTTTCGCGTTTTTCCCGATCTTCCTTCGACGCCTCCGGTGCAGCCGTGGTGAGGAACTCCAACATGCCCTCATTCTGCTTCAAATCGGCCACAGTCGGCCCTGCCTCCGAAATGGGTGCCCATATCGATCGGATGGGCGTAGCGACATTCGCATGCCTGCTCATCGCCGTGGACATACGAGGGTAACCACTAGGAAAAATTGGAGTTACTTCGACCCCAGTGAAAATACCATTAGCGGGATTCGAACCAGGGATTTTTGGTGTGGAAATTTGTACATGCGGATGCTCCTCCAAAAAGCATTTAGGAGCGAATGAATAAATATTAGGATGATGGTATTTCCTGAGGAATATCTTGTGAGGAAGATTGACAAAAACGGACGAAGTCGCGGAAAAATCAACCACCCGGTGCCCTAAATCCTGTCAACTTCAACACCAACTCGATCATCAGGAACAAAGGTGCACTTGCGCATGCGTGCAGACCTTGGCATCCGAGGTTACTAATAGTAACGAGTAATTCCTCCAAAGCCCATCACACTACCGCCCTCCTAATCGATGCTTCTCACAAACGTAACAAGTCTCCTATCCAAGCCTTTCGAGACCTTCTTTCCAGTACTGCCATTACTCATCCACTCCGAAAGCTCCTGCTGCCTGCCTCATCGCACTGGTAGGGGATCCCTCGAAATCGACGAGGAAGAAGGCATTGTAAAGGAAACGCTCTCCTGAAGTATACCTACTAAAACTCGCAGCAAATCGATCAACCGTTTCATTATTAATACTATATAACACAAGACCCTGATTCGACACGTTACCAAGGCACATGGTGCTATGTGAGGCTCTACCAACATTTCATTCTTTCATACAGCATCGTCCACAAGATATCCTCTGTGCGCGCTCGCAAGAATATGCGTATGCGTGCAACAAGATATGCAGAACACAACTGTCTTCTTTATTGATCAATTTTTTGGTTTTTATAACAGCTGGCTATTCACAGGAACTTCAGAGGTTTTCGAATAATCAGTAGCCGACCTTCTCCACATCTGAACAGCCCCAAAAACACCAAATATGCATCGCTTCGCTCCGCTCATCAGCCTACATCTACAATCCCAGCAGCTCTCTCTTCCTCTCTGGACTAGCTTTCTTCAAGTCATCCACATCCACCCTCAACTGAGGTTGCTTCTCATCAGGCGTGCTGCCTGCTAACGAACCCTACACTTCCCATCTGCATACAACCCCTCATGCTTACCCTTCTTAGAAGGATCCTCCTTAGCGTCACTATTATTCTCATCGAGTATTCTCTTAACACGCATTTGGACCTAGGAGACGGCATCTAAAGTGAGAACAGAGCATCCAGTGTATACCTGAGCCTGCTCCTCAGCCCTAGCAGCACTCCACTCCAACAGCTTGTCCTCCTTCATTGTAGGCATACCTTAGGAATAGGACCTCCTCCTCCTCATGTGAATCGATAATCGAATCCTCACTTGGAGCGTTGGGGTGATACTGGGAAAGTTGAGCTCCCTGGGCCTGTGCCAGTTGTACTGCTTGCATCTGAGCCTTGGCCATCGCGGCAAGCTGAATGTAAAGATACCGTAACCGGGTGTCGAACCCACGACCAGTCGATCCCAAACCCGTAATACTACCCCTCCCATGTATCTTGCAGTCATAACCTGGTTCTGATAATATCTAGCAGCCGCTACTGCTCGTCGATGGTCCATCAATGAGTCCAAGAACCTTAACCATCCACAACATCCACACCCTACCTACCACCTCTCCCCCTACTACTACCTAGTCGTTGGAGCTGTCCCATGGCCTCCCGTCGACGGTATAAACTCGGGTGCCTTGGCATTGAGTCGCATGGGCTCAGGGTGTTTGGCCTCCTCTTGAGGCACTATCGTCAAAGGCGTCGCTGGATTAGCAGTACTTGCAGCTGCTGTCGAGAGCCCAGGCGGCGACTGTGAACCCAGTGATTGGGATTGGAAAAGCTAAACATGAATACCACATGCTTGAATCGAACCCGCGACCTTCATATATCACCTCCGCTGGAGCCGGCGCGTCCCGTCCCGCCAACGAGGCCTTCTCATCCAAACTGCCCTTCCTATCATCACCAGCCATTACGCCTAGTAAAGACCTTTATTAGAGTATTCCAAGACCCCGCGACTTACTGACACCACTAAATAGGACCCCAGCGAGCTCCGTGTCACCAGATACTTCAGCCGCTCTGATCATCGCTTCGTAACTAACGCGATCAGAGTCTTCCGTCAATTTTAAGCTTCGCTCCGCCTACGTTTGTGGTTCGATGATGACCCCTTGCAGCGTAAGGGACTGCAAAACCTCCTGGCAGACAGTGGATGCCTACAACAGTAAAAGGATAATCAATCACCATGTGCCTTTTCCGTGCTACCTGGCTGGGGAAACTCTCAATGGCTGTTTCCAACGCTTTACGTGCGTCCTCGTTTTTTAGAGAAACACCTGATGACACCGACGGGTTTTAGTCTACATGTCGTCTCCGAAGACGAAGCGTCACGCGCCATGAAATTAGACGACTCAAGAAGGCAGCTCACCTTCAGCCTGTCCAACTTCCTTCACAGAGCCGAAACCAGGTGGGAGCCGATGTGCAGTATCAGCAACACCTTGACAAAATCTTCGCCGTGCGTACCACAAGATACGCCAATCGATTCTACTCACCCTCGGTGGGTGATTTCAGCGACTTCACTTCGTCCACCTCTTGCCCTTTTTGAGGGATGTGACAGGCGTGAGTTACCGCCGCAACTTGTGGAGAACTCTCGGTGCCTTTTGCCTCCGCTGGAAATAAATAATGCCCCCTGCCGGGATCGAACCCACACCCAATCCTACCACTCCTGAGCACATCCTCCTCATGGACACGTCCCCCACAAGGTCGTTGGTCCTAAGATCGACACCTCGTTACCATCAGCTCACAAGGACACCATTACTTGCACTGTTCGCTCGTGGGCCGACCTCTGACCACCTCTACCACGACTGATGTTGCCTCGTGGGTCGACACCTCGGACCACCGGGGACGCCCTGGAACTGCACCGCGACGATGCTGTTGGCGGAATAATCTGATCAATGCTATGAACGCTCAAGCCGAGCCTCTCAAGGGGTACCGTCTTCCTTGTAGGGCTGCCGAAGGGCCTAGGTTGGGCTGGGCTCACTGTCGTGATATGGAGGAAATCATCCTCGCCCGATGATGAGAGTGCATGCACCCCTCCAGTACTGTCCTCTGGAGGTCTTCGGTTTTGGGTGAGCTAACACAAGGCCTGACAGTGACTGGACTAGTACTGGTCTCTACCTTTAGATAGAGAGCTGTGACGATGATAGGGATAAGGATCCTGAGCAGCCAAGTGACTGCACTAGATACCTGAATGGTGAAGCTTATACAACAATCTCTGTTGTAATAGAGTCCCACCTGGAATACTAGAGTGGTACCTTGAGAGGTGGTCTGTAATACTATGGGAGAGTCGAAGTACTCAGCAAGAGTAGCCATCATAGCTGAGAGCATTGGGATCACTCAACCAAAAGGTGGAGGGAAATAGGAATGAAAGGATACACTGTGGGATGCGAGCAATGATGACAAGTCAAGTACTATCCAAAGGTCGCACTGCGCATGACAAAAGCGCGCGCCATCCTGATCGATTCAGATGGTCTGATGTTGTTTATCGTATTTTCTTCATCTCCGTGCCTCACCGGCGTTGTGGTTGAGTTGGTTTAGTTGTCCTGGGATGCGAAACTAGGATGCATTTCTCGTTGATCGATGCTGTGTGCGGGAGGGGGCCAGATTGGGGCACCCTTGGAGTTATAGAATATCCCATCCACGACAAATGCATAACAGCTACTCCACGAAGGGGTATCAAGACATCCAGGCGCTACCTGTGGTTACTGCCATTTCTAGCGTAGCTCAACAGCAATGATGAACAAGGCCTGTTGGAGAGACAGCTACCTTGCATCGACCGACTCCACCTCTCCAACGAGGCATCGCCACTTCTAAAGAGCTGTAGATTATGGGAAGGTTGAGCGGCACAAGAGCTACGAAGGGTACCTTCCAGACTATACCTCCTCTGATTTACGTTAACAATACAAGACCATGATATACAACATGAAGGAGTTCACAAGACATGCAACAGAACAGCAGTTGTCGGTTCACAGTTGAGGATTATAATGACTACAAAGTTTATCAAGTAGGATATCATACGCATTCGATGAAGGGACATATTTCCCTCCCAAGACCTCGAAAAGGTGAACACCTGCCTCTGCGCACATATCCTTGTAGTCTAGGCTTTCAAGAGTACACGTCAGTCTCCCCAGAGGATCATCGAAGGACTTTCCGTTATCAGTTGTAACGACTCTTGTGATGGGATCGCTGAAAGGCGATCAACTATTCCACTGCTCCCACTCAATAGGGATCGCCATTCACGACGGCATACGGAATTTTTTACATCAGAAAAGTTGAAGATTTTACACTTAGTCTTTTCCATCATCACGTATGGAACGGAGACTCCTCATAACTGGGTAGCTAAGTATTCTCGACTTTACCGAGTATCCTAAAGTCGACTTACATCCTATACATGGGTCTGTTATCTCCAGGGTAATCTTCAGAGCCACACTGTAGTCGAAGCATGGAGATACTTCCACTATCGCCTCCTTCATCAGTGAGACGAAATATGATCTCGGAATCAAAGGTCCTACTGGAGGGTGGGAGGAGGATACACTCGTTAGAGTCCGGATCAGCATCGACTCTCCAACTCCTCTAACACGACGCATGACAATACGCAGCTGTTCAACAGCCTACCTTGAACCATCTCGTGAGGGCCTTGGGGTTAATTCCTACGGACTGTAAGGAGTCGGCAGTGGGAAGAAGCAGGAGTGCGGTAGATATCCTTGCACGCATGTACAAGGGCAAACGGCTTCTGCGAGAGTTCTCTATAGCGAGTTCTCCTCTAGAAGCGCTATCCGGCATACATCGAGACGGCTCGGAGTGCGAGCGTCTCACTGATGGAAATTCGGCAAACGTTCGCTACAACCCCAGTGATGACCGTGGGCGTGCGCTCTATACCGGATAGGGGAAATTTAGTGAAATTTCCCTCAGGAAAGGTCTCCTTCTATTGTGTTGAGTCATTCAATTGCCTGGTTTGAATGCTGAGGAGTGCCCCCAGCATGAGTGTACCGTTATTGAGAGGTGGTCGCTGGATGGGTAGTGGGTTTCCAGTTGTGTCTGATAGATCAAGAAAGTATGGCCGACCGACGCACTGTGGGGGATATGCTCGCTGATACCTTGATAACAGCGATGAAGGAGAAAGAGGAGCAGCTCGATAAGGAAATCGAGAAGTATCTTAGGTTCACCCGCGCATGATTCGGAATAGGTCCAGTTGGGTTACATGACGATTCTTCGCACGAAGGGCCATTGAGACATCTCTCAATGCGGTATCATTTCAGATTAGACAATATGAAAGAGGATGACATCGAGGAGATCAGACGTAAGAGGTTAGAAGAGATGAAGGAGGATTATAAGGCCAGTCTAGTGAGTCTAGTTGTCATCCTTTTACCGAGCAATCCCCTTTCCCATAGGAGCTTCGTTCCAAGGGACATGGTGAATACAAGGAGTTGCATTCTGAAAGAGAATTCTTCGAAGTGAGTATCTTGAGGTTCGTTCGGAGTCACTGGAGTGATGCCAGGCTGCCAAGGTTTCAAAGCTCATGGTTTGCCATTTTTATAGACCTACAACATGGCGATGTCAGATAGTAGACAAGTAGGAGGTCCCAGGTTCGATCCCCAGTCATGTCATTCTGCTGTTTTCGCAGGCACTTGTCTGTTCTAGCAGAGAAGTACATCGGCACTCGATTCGTCAAAATCAATGCGGAAAAAGTGAGGGCTTCGGAGTAGCACCAATTCGAAGCCTCAACCATCTCAGTCGCCCTTCCTATGTGATCGATTTAGGATTATGATGCTGCCGACTATCATGCTGGTCAAAGACGGTGGGATAGCGATCACTCCCCTTCCCATCGCCTACCTTCGTAGTGGAGTTGGTATTGCGTATGCTCAGTAGGTAAGACAGAGCACTCGGTGATCGGTTTCGATGAGTTCGGCGGGCGGGATGACTTTGATACAGATGCTATTGAGGAGGTAGAGAGGAGGGTCTGATACGCTATTGTGTAGTCGTTGACAGGTGCTTGCTACTTGGCAGATCATAAAGCGTCGGAATTAATAACATATGAGAACAGTGTTATACCCTTGAGGGGAAGTATATGTATTAGAGTATCTACAACAACTTGATTGTTGTGTACATTGAGGTCATCATCACTGTTGTTGTGAAGGCCGTAGTTCATGTCAATACCCCTTCGTAAGGTATGTAGGAATGCTTCCAAACAGCTCAGTGGATCTGTTAGAAGGATGAGTATCAAGCCAGAGGCCCAAAGGAAGGAAGTTGAGTAAGGCAGGCTGGCTGACTTATACCTTCCTCGGCAGTGTACCAGATGGTCTCGGCGAGTCACTTTGCCGCTGGCTGATGTTGTGCATAAGGATGCTGTCGCGGTAACAGGAAGCTTGGACTTGTTCGATGAGAGGGTCGCATCTAAACAGCATGATGGGAAGCAACAGAAGAGGTGTTGTTGAGTGTAGGGGTTGGGGTACGTTGTTGTAGTAGGGCGCGGGAACAACGACGGAAGGCCTGGATGGGAAAGGAGGTCACACCATGGATGGAGAATGGTTGGGACTATGAGGGGAAGTAATATATAATAGTGATGCTATGTGTATGATATTGAGGTTAGATGGCGAGGGGAGCACCTACCTGAAGACCCTACTGTGCCCTATGGTGTACTACCTAATGCACATCTTCGGAAGGCTGTGCTCATCAAGAAGGACTCTGGCCTCAAGAGGTGAGCTTGTAGGGAGTCGGTGGGCAGGAACGAGTAAAGTCCTTGCATGGTGCATATTATTTGGGCACCAGTGTACAGTATTTGATAGAATATGGTTGCTATAAAATCCTACTTCTTACAACTTGCCCTATCTATGTGTTCACGAGTTCATCATGGGTTCGGTTACACTGCTCACATTACCGTATTTCTGACGGTAGTGTGGGTATATACTCCTCTGTTGAGTTTCCTTCAGGTGGATACCGATAGTAAACCTTCCTCCAGGAGACCTCATTGAGGTAGCTTGTTCAACCCCTGGGAAGTACCACTTGGACCCAGCATTTTGGGACGCCCTTTGTCGGCGTGCGGAGTACATCAGTCATTGCTTCTCTGTAAAGCAGATTCGGAGGTTGTTGGGTGAGGCCGCCGCCGCCAACACCTATGGATCGCCTCTGAATATGCCATGCCTAGGCGCGTTGGCTTCGGCGGAGTGTAAGGCCCATCCTGGGTTACTGAGGAAGATGAGCTCAGAGCTGTTGGAGAGGTTCCCACAACTCACGTTACTCACCTGCTCAGAGTGTGCTGAGGCGTATCAAAAGCTTGAGTGAGTGTATAACCCTTGTGATTGGAGATTTGCCATTCATGGCGGTATCAATGGTAACTTCCAGCAATATACTGTATGCAGTCGTATTGACTCACGGTTGAGCGATACTTACCACAGTATTTAGTGCAAGCATTTTGCAATGCACAGGAATTCCCTACGCGTAGTATTTGATATATGTATCATTGACTGATCAATACTCGTACTCCATTCATCGTATTACATTGGAGAGTAGTACTAATAGACGGCAGCATCCAGAGGTGCTCTCAGATACGATCATACGGGTACCTATAATATGTTGGCATTAGCCTTCGTACAGGAAATGGAGGATATTCGATATCCTCTTGTTGGATCCGAGAAGAGCAGGCAATCGACTTCACCTGAGCGAGCTCTTCAGATGGCAGCGAAGATCCTTACGGCCTTCTCCAAGGCAAAGCTCAATGGTGCCACTCCAAACGATTTGCTCGACTGCTGTGCTCATACATTGTAAGGAATACCCAATATTGCTAGTTATTGGATTCCCTCAACGGAGGCCCCGCCCAGTTCTCGCGGCGGAGTTTGAGTCGTCGGCTCAGGTATTCCCATCGGGAGGTGTTGAAGGATTGTGTGGATGATTATATAGCAGCAGTCGATGCATACAGGAGATTTTCTCGTGCTGTTACGGCGATTGAGCTGGCCAGAATCATCTTGGCGTCTGATATCGCGTTGGAAGTGCACCGAATAGGTCGTCTTGCGAGAGCTGTAAGGCTGTGCTGAGCTTCTCTAATGAGCTGGGTTGTAGGTTCATGGCCTGGAGGGGAATGTGATGATAGCGACTGAGTTGGCCGATTGTGTGAGGGCATCAGTGAAGGATGCTACGGCATTGAGAGGAGGAGATACTGTCGAGCTCACTGTAGTCGGGACATCACGCCCGCCTCATGTGACGTATTGTAAGGTCCAAAGGGAGGATCATGGCAATGAGTTGGATGAATTTGGTATGCCTACAAGGAGAATATCTTCGCGGAAGATAACTATCGAAATCGATCGCCTGATCGATTTAATAGAGTGTTTGATGGCTGTTGGGCAGGAAGGTGTGCTCATCCCCATCGTTGGACATTAATGGTGTTTCGAACAGTTCCTGAAGTCTTGGCTAAGGTCATCACGAACAGCATTGATGACCCCTTACGAGCCGTCCGAGTGTTAGGATGGAGATACAACCTCCCTATAGAGCAGCAGAATAGGTGCTGCTCGGGGAGATACCGCCGACTCCATCTCGTCAACAGGTTGGCCGATGTGGTCCGGGTGAGTCAAAGGCAACTCATACCACATGGTTTGAGGGAAGTAATGGAAAATCGAATATTGGCCGGTCGTGGTGACTTCTTGACATCGTTGGCACCGCTGTTGGAGAAGGAGACGGATAGATTTAGAGAGGACCAATGTGTTATACTTGCGAGGTGCCGGGATCGAACCTGGGTGTTGCGGTGGGAAGTTGGTGTGTAGGGTCTACCACGGCTTGGGTACGCAATTTAACGGTATAGTGAAGGGATGTCTGAAGCAGCTCAGCAACAGATTGTCGCAGAAGAGGTGAGCACACGTATATTACGGCTATCGTGGATATCCAACGGATTTGCTCAAAGGGTGGTCTCGTGGGAGGAAGGACGAACCCATCCAGGAGCTCGAAGTGAATACAGTGGCAGCTTGCTATGGCAGGAGGAGACGATCGATCGAGAAGAGCTTGTCGCACAGGTATCATGGTGTAGTAGTTATGTTGTCTAATCTTCATTCTGAAGGTCCTTGGGTCAAATCTTAGCTAGGGGATTTCTATCAGGTATGCGATACCTTCGACTCCTCAATACTCCATCCCAAGTTGCTACAACAGTTCGAAGGACTCGTCCCGCGGATGAGCCCAGACCAACTCCTCAGGTCACTCTTATTTCCATTGGAATCATCATCCAAACGACCTCCATTCAGGTGTGCAACAATTCTACCACAAGCAGTTCGGAGGGAAACTCAACGTCGAGAGAGCGACAACGGCTACTTGTATGGCGATGACAATCCTGAGGAGATCGAACAAGTTGCTAAAGTATTTCCATTCTAATATCCATCATTGTGGGTGAGTAAGGCTTTGCAGATCCCTCCTCATACGGTCGAAGAGATTCTCACTCGAACCAACACTTAAAAAGAGACGGACCAACGTCTTTGAAGCCATGAACTTCAACCGTATCAGTTTCCGTAAATTCAAACATGTTTCTGATTATCCTCATTGCGTTGAGCTCAGTGCAGCTTAATGGCTGTATACCACTCCTTGCGGAACCTGTAGTTGTTTTCATTGTCGCTGCTATCACAACATGGGTATGTCCTTGAGTTCGTTGTTTCAGAAGCTCGTGGGTAAGGAGGAGATGCGCATCCTCATGGTCGGCCTGGATGGTGCCGGTAACTCACTCTCCTACTATAGCCACGTACCTTATCACAATTATCATCAGGCAAAACTACCATTCTTTCTAAGCTGAAACTCGGCGAGGTGGTCACAACAACACCGACTATTGGTTTCAATGTTGAGACGGTTGAGTAAGAATACCCATTTGTATGAAGTCCTACAATAATCATACTTAGGTATAAAAACATAAGTTTCACGGTTTGGGATGTCTGTGGACAAGATAAGCTCGGTCCATCGTGGACACTCTATTATAAGAATGCTCAAGCTGTCGTCTTCGTCGTTGATTCCAACGATAGGGATAGTGAGAGTACTCTCACCATTGATATATCATCCATCCGATGCCTTCAGGGATGGATGCTGCCAAAGAAGAGCTCCATCGCATGCTCAACGAGGAGGAACTAAGAGATGCTTGTGTTCTAGTTTTCGCCAACAAACAAGTATTCAGATGCGTCCCTTTCCTCCACAATGCTTCTTGTCAGGATCTGCCCAATGCCATGACCATCACGGAAGTGAGAGAGAAGTTAGGACTGCAGTCTCTGAAACATCGTACTTGGTACATACAGTCGGCTTGTGCTACCACTGGCGATGGACTCTATGAAGGCTTCGACTGGCTCAGCAAGACCCTTGCCAATGCGAAATAGGATTTTTGATTACGAGTCGTTGATTACTTTTTTATATAAGGGATATCGTCGCGAACTATGTTGAGTTATGTAGTCTGTACTCCAGTGTTAGATAATCGGTGATGTCGGTATTCACAATTACCGATGCGCGAATGGTCAATACGAATACACCAGAAGATTAATAAATATGACACTACGAGGGCAACCACTATACATCTTAGATGTTGTTCCTTGACACGAGTACAGCTTAACGGCTATACATTGATAGTTATAAATCATATATGATAGACAATCGGCCCCATGGGTAGTCTGAGACTGTTGGCCGACTCGCCACGAGAAATCAGCGTACTTCACCTGATGAGGTCGATCATGCAAGATACAAAATAGGCCGAATCTGTCCCTAATTAGTGGCCCGTTCTGTTATCTTATGATCCATCATACATTTCTGGAAAGCGGAACGAGTAAGGGAACACTTATCCTCCACTGGAAGGAGAACATTTGAGCTCACAGAGAACTTCCTCGTGAGGTTACTCTGTGACGACCCCTCACCACGGAAAATGTTGTCCTTCCCAGTCCGCACTGACTATGTCACATAGTTACCAACACATTGACCCTGGAGAAAGATACAAATCCTGCCCGAGGATGGCTACCATTCGCCCACCATCACCATCACCAAGTCGGTGTAATACAATCCGGCAATCGCAACTTTTTGCTAATATTGCGGATTTGCCAAGTGCTATAATTTCTGACAGTCTCACTTTTTTGCTCTTTTGTATGTGCTGCTTTCTCAGTTACGAAGTAGCAACCACATTTACAACCTAGCAATTTCTGGTATAGGTTTTAGCAACCAAATGTTGAAAGTAGCAAATCCAAAAGTGTTTTCCAGCAAGTCGCTCTTTTTTGCTCTTTTTTGCTGCATTGTATATTTCCCCGGAATGTTTTTCACGTTGGCACTTTTGCCCACGTGTGCTTCGCCCGCACATTTTCGTTATTCTGGCAAGTTGTGCTCATTTGCTGTTTAATATGTTTCGCATTGTAATTATATAATCTGGCACCTTTTAAGGTTTGCTCTTGTGTGATGTTCCTGTATGAAATATACAAATTGGCAGTTGCCGGTATGTGACAACGCCGCGCTACTTTTATGTTTCGGCTATTTGCTCTCTTGTAACTTACGCCCTGCGAGGATATATACTAGCGTTTTGCTCATTCGCTCAAACTCCGTCTCTGTTAGCGTTATCAGCAAACTTGCCCTTTTGCATTATTCGTACAAGTAATATACAATCGAGCAAACATAGTTATAGGATAGCATTTCTCGTTCGTGCAAAGCACCTCGCTCATCGCAGTCCCACCCACTTGTCGAACTCGACAATCCCGCCCTTGGGCCATGAAATGATCCGTGATACCGCGAGGTCCCGATGGAGAGTGGAGCCATGATTTCTGCCATCGGCAGATCCACAATCATCCAACTGACCAAGGGACCTGCCTCACCCACTCAAAAGAAAAAAAAATTACAATGATCCAAGTGGACCAACGACTACACAGGACTCATATCGCCTCGCAATCGCTACCCTTCTATCCACCGGAACATCACTTAGGGAACAATCGTACATCTCGGGCGCGCGCTCTTAGCTCGTGATTTGCACTTCCTAGCACTTCGTGCCCTCCAATGCAAAGCACCTCGCTCATCGCAGTCCCACCCACTTGTCGAACTCGACAATCCCGCCCTTGGGCCATGAAATGATCCGTGATACCGCGAGGTCCCGATGGAGAGTGGAGCCATGATTTCTGCCATCGGCAGATCCACAATCATCCAACTGACCAAGGGACCTGCCTCACCCAATAAGGGATCCGGATCATCCATGGCATGATGGGGGGCACAGTAACACACTACCGCTGAGATGAGAGATTCCTGAACGATCTAGATCTGCTTCTACTGTCTGCCAACACAAGAGAGCTGTTGGGCTGAATCAGCCCACCTTCTACTGCTATCAGATAGATCTGCCATCAAATCAAGTACATACGGCGCAACCATACCCGTGCTGGATCAGGCATCGTCTGCAGCTGCTGGCCCCTTCTGAGCCAATGATTCGCGGCACTGCTCGAAGTTGACACCATCTACGGCCAGCCCTCGCTCTCCGTCTCTTCGGAATGTGGGAAGTTCCAGCACCGATGAGTCGGACCGTATCCGCAAACTCCCATCTCGCACCTGCCGCAGCTGTTCATCCACCTGCAGAGCCTGCACCTGCAGTGCAGACCGATCCGGCAAAGTTGAGCTCATCACAAGAAGTGCCTCTTTGATGTATATGTTGATGCGCGACGAGTTTATAGACCACCGTCCAAACGCTCTGATTTAGCTTCCTTCGAAACCAGCTCTTGTCAGCATGTGGCACCCACCCCGTCGCAGACTGTGAAAGCAGAAAGCGGTCGGCCCACGAGTCCCTACCATCTCCAAGTTTCTTCGGAACCACTCTCGTGAAGTTGATTTCCGCAGAGGTTGGCCTCATATCCAGCAGTATTCGATCTGCTCCTCTCGGACAAAACTCGCGGTCGATTTCTCCCGATATCCTGTACACATGTACACCCATGCTCCCTACTCACACCAACTCCCTGGATATCAGTCCCACTCTTTCGTTTCCCTCGTCCACTGCGACGTCTGACAGTTCGAGATCACACAGCACGCTCCCCTCAACAGGAACCAGCTCCCGTGGATGTAGTTAGCCACTCTGCGTTTCCCCTGTGGGCTGTGGGCATTGAGCAGCACTGCTCTCAACTCTGTCGGGCTTACCGGCCTGGCTCGCCAGGGAGTCCCCAGCCCTCCTTTGAGGGCCCGTTTCACTCTCTTTAGACAGGCTCTCTACAGGCTCCAAGCAGCGAGTTGTGGGAACACGCCTCCGCGTCTCCAGTGACTCGCAAGTAATGGGAAATGGCGACAAACCATGCTCTTCGCACGCTTCGATCCACAATTTTGCCCTCGAGTCGTTCGATCGACGCGTTGATGTCGCAAACATGCTCGCCCGCAGCCTCTGCCTCGCCTGCTGACGTCCTTCGACATTTCCCGGCCGCAACAGTCGCCTCACTCTCATGATGCTGCCCCGGCTAATGTTTAGAGGGTTGCCGCGGCGTTCTGGCATGTAACGAATAACAACTCTCCGCCAGACTCGCGGATTAGTCGCCGGAGTCCGTATACACAATTGCCACCGACGCCAAAATCTAGCCAATGGGAGATACGGACGAGAAACGCCTCAGGCATAGTCTAGCTCCAGCTTACCCCATCGTGGGCAGCCACTGCTACGAAGGTGCGAACCGCGGTCACGTCGCGACCGAGAGTGCCGATCTATCAATCAGATCAAAAGGCAATCGCCTGCACCACCGCAAATCCTCTACAGCCAACACACACAGTCCCCCCAAAGGGACGAATCGCAACACGTGGTCTCGGTGCTACCGAATAAGAGTGACTTTGATGCACTAAAGTCTTTAGTCTAAAGATTCGACTCTGATGTCAGAGTTTGAATGAGTCCCATCGTGGACGAGCCACCATCTCAGCTACGCGTGGTCACAGCGTGACCCAGAGCTGGCAAACCGATGTATAACACGTTGTATATAGTCTGGCTCCGGCGCGTCCCAACATGGACAAGCCACTGCCCTCGAACAGCTACGCATGGTCACAGCGCGACCAAGAGCTAGGCGAACAGATGTATAATATACATTGTATACAGTCCGGCTCCGACGAGTCCCATCATGGACAAGCCACTGCCCTCGAACAGCTACGCACGGTCACAGCGCGACCCAGAACTGAGTTGCAAACTGAGCAATTGAGCTACCTCTAGCAAATCGACTCGGGAAACATTGAGCGAATCAACCACCGGCTCTTCCGCAAACAGCTAGGCCCTCGTGCCGGGCAATAGGGATTGGAACGGCCTCTGACCAAAACTTCTCGTCTCGCAACGGGCAGAAAACCATTTCACGGTCGAGTGCAGCTATCAACGCGACCTTTACGGCGAGCCGGTTCATAATATTTGTCGATGACCGTTGTCTCAGCATAACGCTGAGGGCCACCAAGGAAATCCGTCTCGGAGACCGTTCGGCTGCAGTCGGCGAGTCGCGAAACCCGTCGTGGTCCCAAATGAGATCGGCAAAGTAGGAGATTGGAGTTGTTTTCGCATGGGGAGGCCCCCCCCCTAGAATACCGCCTATTCCCGAAGGAGACGCGTCAACGATGATACACGCCCTCGGAGGATTTCTAGAGGACAGACGATACGCTCTGGTTAGACAGTGTGACTCAGGAGCTCGAGAGCCGTCCAAAGTGCCGAACGTAGGAACAACCATACCCCCAAAGCGACTCACGCCCTTCGCCAACGACACGAATGACTTCTCGGTCGCCTGTGCATGAGCCGAGATGCGCCATAGCAGTTCTAGGATTCCTCGGCTAGGAATGCAAATAAGTAGGGGACCACATTCCCAGCCAACGCTGCCTTCCCGCAAAATGTCCTCAGGAATTTACTCGGCGCCCTCAACCATTCTTCAACATTTCTGTAGCCAGCTTGCCCTTCGCCGAAGTTTTATCGGCCGGTACAGTCTGTACCGTACAGGCACCAGAAATTCATTCTAGTCGAGGATGGAACGGATCCCGAACCACTTCATGGAAACGCCCCGCTGCCCTTTCTCTACCGCCGTAGGGATCCCCAGGCACTCCCAAGGTAGGATAACCGTCAGCATCCGCAGCGTCCGCATACTCAGTATGTCATACTGAGAGTAGGGCGTCGCACGATAACCGCGGATCACCCGCATAGCAAAATATCCGCAGCTCTGACTCCGAGAACAACAGTTGAGCCAGCCGGCAGGAACAAGTTGTGCCCGGCACAATGTGCCGCCCAACCCAAATCCTGCATAAGACCAGCGGGGATGATCGGGAGCCGAACATTTGCACATTGAACTCGATGTAGAAACTGCCGAAGCGGCATATTTGACAGAATCGCTCGAAGTTGGCGACAGGGTTTAGTTTGAACGCAGACCTAAAGTCAAACGACAGGAACTCCAGATTCCGGAACCCACCGTCCTCCTGTATCATGTCCTCCTGTGAAACCCGAAGCCCGAATGCTCATCGAACAACTAACGCCCGTGTGGACCGGAGCTTCTCTTTCTTAGCGAAGCAGACTTCTCGGCTCCTCTCCGGAGCCGGCCAATCGGGTTGGAGAGTGATCTCGCTTCCCATCCCCGTATTTACCGTCTCTCTTCGATCCTATCCGGCGCTCTCGAGCTACCTTGATAACCCGACCCCCTTGAGCCTAGTTACCAGGCCTAGTACGCCTCGAGATCAGCAGTCGATGCCCACGCACTGGGTGGCACCCAGCATCACAAGACCTAATTTGTATAGGGTGAGAGACTTCTACCACTCATCATGCGATGGAAGCGACGGAGACTTGGCCTTCTGTGCCTGGCCATCGAGCCCGAATATCCGCTTTGTGAGCCTCATTCCCTTCGAACACTGCCGTTGTCTTGAGGCCCAGACACCGAAGTCCAAGAACGGGATGCCATACGATTCGTATGATACGAAAAAAAATTACAATGATCCAAGTGGACCAACGACTACACAGGACTCATATCGCCTCGCAATCGCTACCCTTCTATCCACCGGAACATCACTTAGGGAACAATCGTACATCTCGGGCGCGCGCTCTTAGCTCGTGATTTGCACTTCCTAGCACTTCGTGCCCTCCAAATTATGGTATTGCGTCTTATATCCGGAACTTAGTACCAGATCAAAGCGTGATAGCACTCTAGCGGGATATATCATTCACTCTGAAGACAGCGCGAGTTATGATCAATGCTGAATACCAAAAACATGATTGCTCTTGCATGTCGCGATTGAATCACATGAGATAACAGTTAAATTGAATCCCCATCTTCGTGTATCCTCTTTTTTTTGCATCGTATCAATTGTGTCCCATGGTTCACTACGATCGTACGTATTGACGACTCAACAATACTCAGAAGTTAAATCCTTAAGTAGGCATTAGCCAAGTATTACGGGCAACTTTGACATTCTACACGAGAAACGTTCACTCATGGGCAGTGTCACTCATGATGAGTGACTCATCAGAGTGCCTCTGTGGAGCTATTGTTATGGACTGTGCAGAGATGTAGCTGAATTGGACAGGGGAAACGCAACACGGATAGAATTACTAGATATGAATTCTACAGATGAGAAGCATATTTAGAAACGTCCAAATTTTTCTCTACCAATCACCGAGACAGCTACTTGTAGCAGCTACAACAGCTGGGCACCACTGAGGTGCCTACCTTACTGCGAGTGCGTACATGGTCGCTAGTCTCCAGTAATAGGAGAAACTACTTCGATTCCTCACGCTCGTCCTCTTTCGACCGCTTGTGCTGCAATTCTTTTGCCGCGTGGCTCTCATACTCCTCTACCAATAAAATAGCATTGTTGTTAGGCGAGTACTTTCGCACTATCTCCTCACATTTGGTACCTCGGAAGAACTTGTTCAGCGCCGGGTAGATGCGGAGTGCTAAGCCAGCCTGCCTCTTTCCTCGATAGTTTCGATTTTCGCGAGGGGCATCTTTTTGCAATGACCAGTATTTGCTCAGACTACGGAAGAGCATATTGGTTCGCATGCAATAGGCCACGTAAGGATCAGGATGCGAGTATGATAGCCACGATATCTCCGTTGCTCCAGAGCTGGCCGATATCTTACATTGCCTCTTCCGGTGTAATACAATCCGGCAATCGCAACTTTTTGCTAATATTGCGGATTTGCCAAGTGCTATAATTTCTGACAGTCTCACTTTTTTGCTCTTTTGTATGTGCTGCTTTCTCAGTTACGAAGTAGCAACCACATTTACAACCTAGCAATTTCTGGTATAGGTTTTAGCAACCAAATGTTGAAAGTAGCAAATCCAAAAGTGTTTTCCAGCAAGTCGCTCTTTTTTGCTCTTTTTTTGCTGCATTGTATATTTCCCCGGAATGTTTTTCACGTTGGCACTTTTGCCCACGTGTGCTTCGCCCGCACATTTTCGTTATTCTGGCAAGTTGTGCTCATTTGCTGTTTAATATGTTTCGCATTGTAATTATATAATCTGGCACCTTTTAAGGTTTGCTCTTGTGTGATGTTCCTGTATGAAATATACAAATTGGCAGTTGCCGGTATGTGACAACGCCGCGCTACTTTTATGTTTCGGCTATTTGCTCTCTTGTAACTTACGCCCTGCGAGAATATATACTAGCGTTTTGCTCATTCGCTCAAACTCCGTCTCTGTTAGCGTTATCAGCAAACTTGCCCTTTTGCATTATTCGTACAAGTAATATACAATCGAGCAAACATAGTTATAGGATAGCATTTCTCGTTCGATTATGGTATTGCGTCTTATATCCGGAACTTAGTACCAGATCAAAGCGTGATAGCACTCTAGTGAGATATATCATTCACTCTGAAGACAGCGCGAGTTATGATCAATGCTGAATACCAAAAACATGATTGCTCTTGCATGTCGCGATTGAATCACATGAGATAACAGTTAAATTGAATCCCCATCTTCGTGTATCCTCTTTTTTTTGCATCGTATCAATTGTGTCCCATGGTTCACTACGATCGTACGTATTGACGACTCAACAATACTCAGAAGTTAAATCCTTAAGTAGGCATTAGCCAAGTATTACGGGCAACTTTGACATTCTACACGAGAAACGTTCACTCATGGGCAGTGTCACTCATGATGAGTGACTCATCAGAGTGCCTCTGTGGAGCTATTGTTATGGACTGTGCAGAGATGTAGCTGAATTGGACAGGGGAAACGCAACACGGATAGAATTACTAGATATGAATTCTACAGATGAGAAGCATATTTAGAAACGTCCAAATTTTTCTCTACCAATCACCGAGACAGCTACTTGTAGCAGCTACAACAGCTGGGCACCACTGAGGTGCCTACCTTACTGCGAGTGCGTACATGGTCGCTAGTCTCCAGTAATGGGAGAAACTACTTCGATTCCTCACGCTCGTCCTCTTTCGACCGCTTGTGCTGCAATTCTTTTGCCGCGTGGCTCTCATACTCCTCTACCAATAAAATAGCATTGTTGTTAGGCGAGTACTTTCGCACTATCTCCTCACATTTGGTACCTCGGAAGAACTTGTTCAGCGCCGGGTAGATGCGGAGTGCTAAGCCAGCCTGCCTCTTTCCTCGATAGTTTCGATTTTCGCGAGGGGCATCTTTTTGCAATGACCAGTATTTGCTCAGACTACGGAAGAGCATATTGGTTCGCATGCAATAGGCCACGTAAGGATCAGGATGCGAGTATGATAGCCACGATATCTCCGTTGCTCCAGAGCTGGCCGATATCTTACATTGCCTCTTCCACCCCTGGGGCATTATACACGCGTCCAAACCCCCAGCCCAATCGTTCAAATCAGCATCGAACTGTTCAATACTCGAAGTAGAGCCACGGCCGTGTTCCTCATCACAAAAAACTCGCGGAAGGTCGCAGGGATCCCGGAGCTCCTGTCTAGGATCGTCGAGAGCTACTCCACCTACCGTGGCCAGATATAAGCAGTTCTGCACGAGCAGAGAGAAGAGCTTCGCTCTACCATACATCACAGCTAGGCCTCCAATTAACTCCAGTGTATCCCCGAGAGCCTCTGAGAGGAAATCCGACCCTTTCTCGAAGAAAAGCTTGTACAGTCCAGCTTGAAGACCCGCAGAGAGACCGACACTTCGTCTCAATTTGCACAGCATTACGCAATATCCCCAGTTCGAGACCGGGTTGAAAGCTTGCGGAGTCGGACAGCTTCGAGTCGCATGGAGAAGCTCATTCACGGCCCAGTCAGTAGAGAACCATGAATAACCATCGCCGAGATAGTGGATTAGGGAAAGGTTCTTCGACTTCTGGTTACGATAAGATCTTCCAAGGTCAAGGCCAGTGGCCCAGGACCCGGAATTAAGGTCCTCAAAATACATAACAACGGCTGTTAACAGTCGATCCTTCGGCTTGGTCGTGTACAAGAAATTATACAGTTCGTGGTCGAGAGACTCGAAATCTATCTCCTCCAAGATCACCGAAGCTTGCCTCCAGTATGCATTTACAGTAGGGAACCTATCCCGAGTTCTCCGACAACACTCTCTCAGGTGGCGCATTTTAGCGACAACCTCGGCAGGATCGAATACATTATGCGGCTTGAAGAGAATGCGTTTTTTCAAACTCCTCACGTACTCTTTTGACAATCCTTTGCCTGACGGATACTTTTGGAAGGGACTCCAAACCATGTTCATAAGAGTCCAGTTCAACCTATTGAGAGACTCCTCATTGCATATATCCAGCTTTTCGCCGTAGGGAAGGGGACCGTCAAGTTGATTGAGCGACGATTCAGCCGCAGCATCTTGGCGGGAGCCTGATAGAGCAAAGGACGAGAAGGTCTGATTTTGGTAATTCACGAACGACTTCGGCTCGCCATTCCTATCAGCCTCAAGGGCATCGAAGAATTGGTTGCCTGCTCCTATTTCATGATTCAATGGACATGGTGCCATTGGGCACAGACTGTCCTGCTCTTTCCAAAAAGCAGCATACAACTCCTTGGATAAGCTCGCAGTGGTAGCAAGTTCGGCGCCAATGCCACTGTTATCTACAGCTCCCTCGATGTCGTGCAACACAAAGTCGCCAATACTAGCAGCAATATTGCACGAGAAAAGATGACCACAAAGTGCAGGTTGGGTCGGGGAGTCTTCATTCCACCACTGAATGAACCTTTCCCAATGAGGCTTTTCCCTCTGAAGCCAAGCGATATCATCGCGATGAAGTAAGCGTTGCCGGAATTGTTGGTCTTCCGCAGATATCATGAGATTTTTGATCAGTGATGAACAACAACTGAGTTATTGACAACTATATGCATTATAACAACTATTAGTTATAACAACTATATGCAATGCTCTGAGCATAATGATGCCCAACAGTGTTGAGCACAATACAATCACCAACAACCCACCAAAGTTCGAATCTCGCGTGCGAAATTTCTTCCGATTATAAAACAGCAAAAATTTGCTCCATTGCGAGGTTGCCCATTCGTAAAGCGGCAAATTGCTCCTCTGAAAAGTAGCAATTTGCTCAATAGCAGAAGGGGCAATTTATTGGTTTGCCCCTTCTTTGAGCAAAATTGCTCAATTTTGGTACATAGTAGCACTTCGCATAGCGGCAACTTTTATATATTCTAGCAATTTTCTGAAATATAAACAAGCAAACGATATTCATTCGAGCAGTTTCTGTTATACAAAATGGCAAATTTGCGTGTTTGTAAAGTGAATTTTGCTATTTTGCTCTTCTGTATATCAGCCATAGCGTTTTTACACACTAGCACAACAGCAAAAGCCGCAGGGAATATACATTCCAGCTAATTAGCACTTTTTTGCTATTTGCTCCTTTGCTATTTTGTAACTGAGCCCACCAAGTAGGGAAGTCTGGAAAATGGCGAGCGAAAAATAAAATGACGACGTTCGAAAAATGACGGTCAAAGAGTGATAGTAATGTGGATAAGTGAAGGGGTCGTCTGTTTGTGCTATTGAGAGTGAATCAGCCACAGCGTCAGACAGGAAGCTCTGATCAATAATCAGAGTCTGATAGTTTACCTCTTTATGCTGCATATCCTTTTCATACTACTACTATCCTCAGACATACTGGAGTGATGATGAATCATCGTCATCATTAACGATGATGATCGATCGGCTAGCTTCGAAGGCTTAACCTGGTTCTTAGTAGGAGTATTCTTCAGGATACGACTAAGGTTCGGATTGTGGCTAACAAATTGTATGTGAAAGGGAGCTTGTTGGGATCATCTCCCATATCGGACTAGAGACCTTCAAAATCGAGGCAGTGACTTGCTAACGAAGGATCTCTCATGAACTGCAATGCTGTTATTCGATGTTATTCCCCCAGAAATCACCTCCTGCCTCGGCCAGACCACGCTAAGACCAGGTTCACACGATTACTGTTTGATGGAAAGCCTCGTCTGACAACATATTCCCACAGAGCCGATGCGCTATCGCTATTATGTGTTTCCGATGCGGAGACAATGGCTTGGAAGCGTAGCGGAGTGTCCGTTCGGTGGATGATCTGCAGATTCGATGCCAGGCCTGCGAGGTCTTCAGAGGGAAGCAGTCGTGAAGGATGTGAATTAACAGGAATGTGTTTCGAAAGGGCGACTCTACAACAGAAGGTTGCGGAGGATCTATACACTCCTCCAGTGGAAGGGTCGATCCAGTCTGTTCGGCAGAAGTCGTAATCTCATAGGGCGATGAGGTCCGTCAGGCGGCTATTTCTCTCAGACTCACCAACCCCTAACCCGTGTTAATGCATCCTCTGCTGTTTAGTCGCTTACTGATATCTCCAGCTCTTGATTTCCTCAATCCATACGACCCGTAGCAGTTACGAGAGAATTTCTTCTGAAAGGATGCTGTCAGTATTGATGCCTTCGATAAACCCGTGTGAATCAGGACAACGTTGAGGTATCTACCGTGTAGTTGCTTCCATACTATGTACATCGGGCCATGGCAAGAGCTAGAGTTGGCACGCCTCTTGGCTCGGCATCGATTCCTCCACAGAGCCAACGGCAGACAACAGACACACAATCGACTAGAAGAAGAGCAGCATGCTAGTACGGAAGGCTCCAGTAACCTCTTCACAATCCTATGGGTTGCCATCCGTGCCTGCAGGGACCGTTCTGCCTCTTCTGAACTCCACCCTTGTGGGCGGGCCTCGATCGACTGGTGCCCTCAACTCCAACCGAAGGAGAGTATCTAATGACCTCTCGATACGTTACGATCGATTACTCGGCTGTCCTGCTGAGAAGCCACGTTCTGTCACTCCATCACCAAGTATGCTATTGCTATGCTCCTCATTGGCTTTCCATCTCCCGCAGGTATACATTCGCCCACCGAGCACTCATCTTTACCAAAGCTCGTCTCCAAAACCAGGTAGAGTCTATCCTGAGTCGGTCTGTCGACGGCTTTCTCCTAGGCTCCACCGCAATATCAAATCACGACCACAGCTACCGACGACCGAGAAGCGCCGAATCCATCTTGAGCATTTTAGGAGAGTTTATTGGCAGACTCGAGATGAAAGAGAAACAGCCACGACCAGTCGGTGTTCTGAAGCTCCTTCGAGCCCATGTCCAGTTATAAAACGAGATGAAGCGGATGAATTCAACGACCCATTGATTGCATGGAGCAATGGCCTGGATATCGATAAGCTCCTAGAGAGCCCACGGTTGTCCACAATGGCACAATTTGGTTGACCATCTCTTGTTTTGTTATCAAGTCTCGCGGTCAAATAGTCTTATCGAGTTGAACAGCTAACAGATTGGTAAAATATAGTCTTGTTATTATTAGTAATTGCACCCGGCCGTGTTAGCATGAAGGTGAGTATGAACTACTGTTACTCGACCAACACAACACAATCCTTGCTACACTCACGATACGCATGAACACTTCAGCCGTAGCGACAGCATCCTCGTGTAGTAGTAGCAGCATGAGTAGGAGTGTTCCCCATTCCAAGAGTGATCGGAGTGGTTGTGGGCCCGACAGGGTTAGACCGTAACGGCAACTTCTGAGCAATCGCCTCGAACAGTGCCACGACGTTCTGACCTACAACACCTCGCAAACATCAGCAATACTAGACAATACCAAACTCACCAGTTTTAGCACTAGTCTCACAGAATACTAGGCCGTGGGTCATGGCGTACTCTCGAGCAGTCGCGAGAGGGACTCTGAGAACAATACATACAACCCGACGTTATCAAGACCATTCAAACTCTCGGTCAGCGACATCCATTTTATTAGCCGCCAACGCTACGACAATGTCTGGATTGTTGACCATCGAAAGCTGCTTCACCCTGAAAGGAACGAGCTGTGAATATCGAGTCGATATTATCGACAGGACGGTCTTGAAGTACCAGTCTTGAGCCCTCACGAAGCTAGCCATTGAAGTCTGGTCGTACACTACTATAGCGCACGATGCATTGCGGTAGTACATCGGTGCCAAGGACCGGAACCTTTCCTGGCCTGTCGATAAGAGCAACCGTGTGATTGAGCAGTTATCGGGATGAGTTATTATCAGAAACTATATGATATAAAGGAATCGCCGAGCTCAAAGAGAAGTGGTGCTCACCAGCAGTATCCCATATTTCAAACTTGATGGATCTATTCGATCCTGGCACGAGCAGATCCTGCGTGGAGAAGGCGGCACCGATGGTTGTCTGGACGGTATCCTCGAAAGAGTTGTGGACCTGTTCTCGGCACTTCTTTCGATGGCACTGCTTTTCTTACAAATCTTTGCACGAGGGAAGTCTTCCCGACAGAGGCATCGCTAAAGGACGAAGGGTTCATCGAGATTTGATTGTCGAAGCTGTGTACTCACCCTAGTAAGACCAGCTTATAGCCCTGTTTTCTACTCGGAGAAGTAATGATGGTCATACCAAGACGCTAACGTGATTGTTATTGAGGACTGTGATTACTCAACTACTTCGTACGTTTACACATAATAATAGAAGTGCGAAAAATCACTCAGTTTCATAATCGCTGGATCATGAGTGGGAATAATTGCAATTGGCGGGCCAGTACAGGAAACTAGGCTCATATCAAATCGGGATGAACAGCATGATATAAAAAAAGGAAGTGAACAGATACGAGTCGGCATTGGATCGTCCTGACCATCAGTCAATATGAACGAGTAGCTCGTCTGTGAACCCAGGGCTCAAGAAGAGGGCTTCTTCTTGAAGCAGAGGAGGGGGCGGAATATAAAGTCGACAACAAACCTAGTTAGCTCCAACAGCGCGCACGCACATTATGATAAGCCTGGACTTTTCAACGCATGAGACATGATCCTTTAATGAAGGCCCTTCATCCAACTTCGTCCATGCCTCAGGACACTATAGGGCAATCCAACTCTGACGTGCCCAGCATGAGAGCTTTCGAAAGCTCTCGAGTGTGGAGTAATACGCCGTCCGAATTCGAGTCCGATGATGGGAATAGAATAGGGGAAGACAAATCGGCGCATACGAGATGAATCTCAGTGGATTGTAAGACTAAGCCAGTACTTATGATACCCGTGCAGTTGAGTCATCTTTAAAGGATTTATCGAGCCGAATACTTGCAACTGTTTGATCACCATACACTCTGACCATAATCAATGCAGCTAGAGTTATAGCAGCTTGAATTTTGGTCAGGCCGAAGCCAGCATTTTTCTCTCAGCATTGAGCACGGTGTACAACACTGCTTATATCCAGCATGGGTTGAGGCTTACAGACGTTCCGCCGTAATCCAGCAGATGGTAGTTCTGCCCTACTGTGTTTTCAGACAACGGCATCAACCAAGTATCTGGACGAATTGTTCCTCTCGTACTAACTCGGAGTTTGACTACTGTCGCAGTGTCTACTTCGTCAGTAGGGTAAAACTAAACTGTCTCATGACGGTCTTAACCCAGTTCACGTTCTCTACTGGTGGGTGAATAATCCGATACTTTAAGACTTCTGCGTTTCAATGATAGCAACTTCCTACTAGGAAGAGCCAGCATCGAATGCCAACATCGGTATGGGCACTTCAAGCGCCGCGCTTGGCTGCCACGAACCAACCATTTAACCAACGCCGCCTTTTGACGCTTCCATCGAGCGACTTGGTTAAAGGGCAAAAGTTTACAATACTTGTTATAGTAACGATAGTTACTAATAACTATTAGCTTATTAGTAAATTGCTAATAGTAATAAGAACCATCTATACCAAAACATCGAACTATTCAAATCCAATGGAGAAGATCAATGGTGAGGTAACACATTGTAATACGTTAATCGCAAGGTAGATTCAATACGACAATAAAGCGTTAAAATACACAAGTGCAAAACAAAGTCAGCATGACAAATAATTTCATCACCATTCCTAAAAGGAATGGTGATGAAATCATTTGTTAGTAGGAAATTCCTACTAGCAATTTCCTACTAACTTCATCGATATAACACGACAAGTATAGAAATAAAATCTCTTCTCATTACTGATTCCCAAAAAATGGAAATACTCATCATGATCATTTCACATGTGCAAGCTATTTTCTTCCCTTTCTCATGTCGACCACTATCATCCTTTTAACCACCTCATTCTGAAAAA